CCCCAAAACCCCAAAACCCCAAAACCCCAAAACCCCAAAACCCCATTCATCAAATTTTTATTGAAAATTTCATGGGTTTGTTCATCCCTATCAACTTATTTATTCACGTCCTTTCTGCACTTGGGACATGAGGACTTCTTCTCGAACCACTTTTTCACGCACTTTTCGTGGAAATAGTGCTTTCATGGCAACTTGATAATTCTACTTCCAATTGAGTATTTTGAAAGGCAGATAGGACAAGTATCGTCTTTCGCATATTGCTGTTTCCTTTTGATCGTAATTTTCTTAAGCTTTTTCATGGCCTTCTTCTTAACTCCTTCTTTCTGCTCCTCTCTACTTATGAGGGAGTGATACAGACGTTCCAGCTCTCTGATACGCAGAGCCTCAGTGTAGGTTTCCAAGATGTCTAAGAATATCATCAAGCTAGCTTACCTTCTTGGTCATTGTCATCGTAGACATAATCATCTTCATCTTCTAAATCTAGGAGATCTAGGTTATATCCGTTCATATTTCCTCTTAAAGGCTGTTCTTCCTGATTTAAATTTGATCGTGCAACTCCTCCAAAAGGGCTTGCACGATTGTTTGCTCTCCGGTTATTTCTTTGATTCCTAGCCATGCCTTGTGAGAAAAAGGCCAGGTTTATATCTCCTGGAGGAAGTCTTAAAGCAGGATTTTGTCTCATATCATAAACTTGGTTTAATTGATCCATATTGTGAGCAGAAGATTCCTTTAGCTCCTCTCTTGAAGGATTATTTTGCCTCTTCTAAACTTCTAATATAATCCCCATAGCTGTAATCTCTTGAAAAAGGCTGGCTGATATGGTCAGATCTGTGAAGATTTTCTTGCTCAGTTCTAGCCATATTACTAAGTCTTTCTATTTGAGAATCGAGTTCTAAATTGCTTGCAGGAGTTCTCTTAATCTCTCTTTTTGGGACCACAGTTTGGTCATGAGAATTAGTTTTCAAACTAGAAGGTATTGCTCTTGGAGGAGCAGATCCAATAGCGTCTCCAAAGCTCATGCCTCCCCAAGCATTGTTAATCTCCTCCTGCCTACGTCTCTGCAGCTCCGATTTCGTCAAAGCCGACTGAGGATTGAATCTTTCCATTGCTAAATTTATATATTTCGAGATGAAATATTTTGCAAGAAAATTCAATCTTTCCGCATGGAATAGGGGTTTTGGGGTTTTGGGGTTTTGGGGTTTTGGGG